CCCAACAATTAAATCCCCTTTCTACCTGTCATATTGATAGCCATAACATTCTTTTACTAAAACAGAGGAATCACCACCTATACATTTTAACCAATACCGAATTATTTCTTTGTTCACAAATGTTCTAATTAGATGTCTTCTTAACTCCCCCCTCACAGCAGAGTTTGTGGCCTTTGGGTGTACCCCTAAAACAAATTTACAAAATTTATGATGAACTGTTTCTATATCGTAAGATTTATGTTGCACTGCCATAAAGCAGGAATAGGAGAATTTTGCAGTCAAAAACACGTTAAGTGAATCGGCCTACATTGCTGTGGGCAGGCCATGGGGCTGATATCACTAATTAAAACTCCAGAGACGACAATGTTAGCGTTTAGGTGACCCCCCCCCAAAAAAAAAAAAACAGGTTACAAAGATCATAATATTGTTTTAATTGGTTTAACCATGTATGTAATAGAGTTCTAGCCAGTAAAACACATGTTGGCCAGCTCAAAATGGATGTAAACAAAAACGCAGAGATTTGTCAGGATTTCCATCTTCAATGTTCCCAGAAAAGTAGTCAGTTTTGGAGTGTCTAGTCGCGAGTTGCCCAGATCAACAGTCATGAATCCAATTAGTGATGCCACATAAAGCTATGCTGTGTGCGTATTTACGTAGCGATCCCACGGCCCATTCTGAGTTGCTAGATTTCCAGGCCCGGAGGGTCACTCTATATTAAAACCTCACACCATGTGCATTCTTGCTAAATAATAGACCCCTAGGGCGGGCAGCACATTGGCAACCCATACCCCTGATGCAGACGCAATGAAAATTTAGTACCCCTTAGAGCAGACATATTGTTACAATCCGGACAAGTTTGGCAAGAGCCGCGATTGATACCGCTCGAATCGGGAACCATATTATCGATCTGTGCAAGTGCGGCCGAGGCGCGAAAGGAGTGTTGATGACCACGGGGATGCCTTTCCGTATGCTCGTGTTGGAAGTGGCGAGAAAGTCCCGCTGGGAAAGTTCGGGCGGGCGTTTGGGGCCTAGTTGGGGCTATGGGTCTACCAATTCGGGGCCTAGGGCGGTGTATGGGAGTGGTTGTCGCCTACAGCGGGCGCAGCAACCATGTGAGTTTATTCCTGGGGGCCTATTGTATTAGCATTTTAAAGGGGGCATATTGCCTCCCGCGCGCGCCCGCTTTAGAAGGTGAAAAACACCTTCCTTTCCCGCTAAATTTGAAACGCAAGTGGAGTAGTAACGGCATATAGAGTGACCCCCCGGGATTGCAGACTACGTCTTTGGCCATGTGTTTATAATTTACTACCAGTATATATTGGCAGTCGATGCGAAAGCTACTTACTTAGCTTGTATCTGATTGGTTACATAATCCTAACACCTTAAACATTGTCAACTTATTTGTTGTCAGGTTTGTTTTGAAGTATCACGTACTAGTATAATATACTTTTATGCAACTCGCGGGGGGGGGAATATGAACACTCATGGAAGGTACTCCGTTAGTACCTTCCATGGAACACTCAAAGCTTGGCGTCATATGCAAATATCCAATATACTTAACACAAAGAACACATCATTCGTTTTGTTTAAATCAATTAGATGATTTTATTGCAGAAATAAACAGAAAGCACGTCATGGTCATCTGAAAATAAAGATATTAACGTACGTTACACAAAAGTATGAAACAAGTGCACATATTCCAAAAAGTATACGAACACGAAATAGTCATATGCAAAAAAAAATCATACAAGTAATACAAGACAGATATTCAGGCTGACGGTATAGATTGTATACATACGGTATTAAATAAAACGTGTAGTTACCATTAGATCATGTTTTATTCACAGTATAGCAAAAGATTTGGGGAGCCAATACCAGGAGACCCGACGACATCAGCAGTACCTACAGCTAAGATATTGTTCTTACAGCTAGCGTGATCGGAACAAACTCCTCCTCCTAACATAGCTGCGGCGACTCCTAAAAACATACATATAGTAATATTTGATTGAGGTACCTTACAACTCCCGGGCCCTCATTAAACATCGAACATTTTACTTTAATTTAGTGCAGTTAGGGGGTCAAGGTGATGGGTAAAAATTAGATCACGTGGTTGTGAATAACTCATTATTGACTAGGAGTCAATATTAGAAATCCAGTGACCTCGATTTTTTTTGCAAAACGAAGTCATTATTAGCCAAAATGTCGTTGATACAAACTCCGACGTTCGATGTATGTTGTGTTTATATAATCAGTATAACAAAACAAACAGTTACCTCGGTGTCAGTCAATATTCAGACTTAATGACCCTCAGAGGAATTATTCACCTCGCCAACGCCTCATACAATAATGTTCTTTTCCGGTCATTAACACTCTACTGAATATTGACTGGAGGTGTATTTTCTGTACTTTCTGGTAGCTCTCAAACAAATTAAGCAACACCTTCAATGATATCCGGGGTCCATAGTGTGCAAGCTCACTTGCGAATTACATCATAAATTAATCAAATTGTACATGATATGAATAACCATTGTCAAGTGATATACAGAAATTGCGCACACTACATATCACATACGTTGCGCCGTACCTTTCAAATGTTCAGTTTGTTCACACTTTTTTGATTCGTTGCATTGTAACCATATAAAATAGGGTGCAAGAACAACTGTGGTACTCTTACTTACCGACAACATGGGGAGATGCCATCGATGTACCACTCATAATGGTGTAAGCATTGTCAGCTGTATGGTATGAACTTCTTATCAGAGATCCCGGAGCAAAGATGTCGACACAGGTACCATAGTTCGAAAAACCTGAGCGCTCATCATCGCTAGTAGTGGAACCTGTAGTTATACTCTGACGGGAAACAAACAAGCATTAGTTGTAATATGTCTTTTACAGTGAAGCCACGGGCCTATTTGTCTTCAACAAAATTTGAATTTCTTCTCAAAATAAGTTGCTATTTGAGTAAAAACCAATTGCGTTATGGTGAATAGTGTAATAGCATAGATTTTTGTTTTTGAATCAGTGACGTAATCGGACCCAAATATTAACACTTACAGTTTCCTCTCTGGCTGGGGACTGGTTACATGCGTCGGTATCATCGTTACCGGCAGAAACGGACACTACATATCCATCAGACGTCAAACTTGCCACGGCATTATCCAATAAAATGCTGGCACCTCCGCCAATAGACATGTTGCAAGTGCCTGGCTTTTGACCGCCGGCGACAATTGCATCACAGCCTACAATGTATATAAAAAAAAACAATGTCAACAAACTGTCACACATTGAGATGCGGTTAATAACGCCAATTTTCATTTTCCCTGCTTCAAATGTTTGATACCAATAACCCTGATTGTGTATTCATACATTATATGATGGCTACAAATGTACGTAAGTAATTCGATTCAATTGGTCGCCGAGATCTCGTTGAGGACTGAGAGCCACAATACTTCCCTATATACTGCCCCATGTTATCCCGTCACGCCGCGATGATGAGAGAGAATGAAAAAAAAAACGTAATTATGAGAATAAATAAATTTACCGTCAACAATGTTGCTAGTTAAACCAGCACCATTGCAATTGAGCACACGGACGCTGTACACGGACGCTGCAGTGGCAATACCGACACTGTTTCCAACCGATGTACCGCCACAATGGGTACCGTGGCCGTTACAATCATCTCCCTGAAAAAATTATGAAAAAAATATATTGCTCACCAAATGAGTAGCACTTAATTATATTCAAATAGCTGATTATAGTCAGCCAAAGTCAAGACGGACATACACACACGTCAATGTGTACTCGGAAACTTCATGTAGATTACTAGTATACAGATCGGATTGTAGTCTGTGTTATGTTCGCACATGTAATATTTCTTACCTGATTTGCAGGTTCAAAATCAAAGAAGAAACTTGCGCGTCCATTAAACTCATCATGGGTATGACGTAGACCAGTATCAATTATGTATACATGCGTACCAGCTCCATTATCTAAAAAGAAATCACATCACACTGATTAGTGAACCTTCGAATTATATGGCGAATGATATTCAGAAAGCCAATAGGCTGTTGCTAAGATACATAAAATAAACACTGCATAATGGCGCTGCTAAAACCTTCCATCGTGTTATGACTCACGTATGTTCAAGGTATTAATATGCCAACAACAACAACGACAACTCAAAATTACCATTGAACGCTGCGACACCATCGAGAGGAAGATTTCTTTGATCGGTACGATCACAACCCCATTCAACATCAGCTTTGTAGATACCGTCTTCCTCTATGTACTCAAACTCATCCATGGTTCTCAACTACATGCAAAAGGGGAACATTACCACCGTCAAAAACGCACAAGGATATCGCAATTTGTTGCAGATCGATGGATTGATTGAATGATTGATTGATAAATACCTGGTTAATAGTCTTTTCCTGTGCTTCGACAGCAAAACCCTTTACGGCAAAGCTAAATCTTTTTATTATTCCAATACCCATACTAGGCAGTTTAGCAGCAACATTATCAAGATCTACATCATCCTGTGTAAAGAATTACAAAGTAAAATTATTACGCTTCTAATAAATTGCTCATTCTTGTTTTACACAATCTAAATGTAATTTGTTTGTCAAACTGCAATTCTTATTTCCATGTTCTGGTGTAATTTGTTGCGATGCAAACCTTCATTTCAAACAATAGCTGTTTCAACAACACAACCTGAACATTTGCATCAAATGCTTACTCTGATATACGCTCGTTGCTCATTCGCCGTCTGAAAACGTTGCCTCGAAGGCATATAGTGTAAACATTCAAACGTACATAGAACACAAACTCTAACCTCCGTTGAAATTTGGAAATCCCTGACCAATCGAAACGAGATGACGTGCATTTATCGATAATGCCCTTTTTTTTGTTTGACAATTTGATGTCGTATTTTTAATGTCACACAGGTAGTAGGGCTATGGAACGTTAACAATGTAAAGGAAAACTGTTTGTATATAAGAAATAGTGGCCACAAACAATTATCTATGGCTTAACATGACAATAAAAAGCTGCTTATAAGTGCGAACGTCTCAACATATCACTAAACGGCATTGTTACCGTAACCACGGTTACTAAAAAGTAACCGTGCTGTAACACAATGTCCGCATTTTAAATCTGATTTATTAGTTGCGTTCACGCACAGCTCCTTAGCACGGGCTAAGAGGTCAAATTGCTTAGCCCGTGCTAAGAAAACGTGCGTGAACGCTTAGCCTACTCAGTCGATTAACAATAAATCTGACCCGTTTTTATGATCCGGTTTAGACCCTTAGCACAGACTAAGCGACCCAAAATACCAATGCAAGCAATGTCCAGTTGGAAAATGTATTATTATATTCATAACTATTCATTTCTGTGTGGCAATTCCGACATGATAATCAAGCACGCTCAGAAGCATTATTCTCGAGAAAAAATAGTCTGATGATGAGACTCTGTACTATGTCCATTTAATCTGCAATCTGCACTTTCTGAATTGGCATTGTTATGTTTTTTTTTAAACCATAAAACTAACATGTAAACCTTCCTGATTACTGTACTGAATAAGCATAGGTGAAAAAACTGAAGATTGGGTGCTCACTGACCTTGTGCTAACTATCCCCCGCCATCGAATCATAAACCAACTGATTGGTGGACGTCGAGAATTAAAACGTTCCAACAACGTTGGGACTGTGTGTATGCAACCTTCGTGTTATTAATTTCACCCACCGCCGTGACATAATGTTACACCCGGAGTAGTTTGTACAGGTTTGCTACAATACTCACCTTAACTTTCAAGATGTACCTGTTCTTTACTGGATCTCGTGCTCTGTACAAGGGGACGAGATTTGCAGCACTAGCTGCGGCGACAAGGAGGGTCAGAATGACGAAACGCATTGTGAAGTGATCTGTGAAGCAAAAACAATGACATATTATATACAGAATAAATTATCGCAGCAAAACTTCATGCGTCCGGTGGAGCGTAGGTGGCTAGGAAACTGTTTTACCTGTTACTGGCGATGTTTAAAAAAACAGCTCGACATGCGACGTCTTTTATTCGCTTAAACCGGGTTATCGCCAGGCAACAGATGTGCATTTCAGCGGAAGGAGACGTGACAATCTGAAGTGTGTTGTGATAACTGGGTCTCGTATCACTGAAATGGACGATTTTTACATAAATCAAATGATTGGATATCGCTGTCAAATTGTTTTTGCTACGGAGCTCATGTGTTTTCGTTAATTTTGGGTACGACCATCATTTTTGTGATATGTGAATAGATATGTAAATTAACATATTTATATTTATACAAAGTCTGACACAAAAAAGGAGGCCACAGGCCAAACCATTTTATCACGGGGGGATCTTTACATTTCAGAAGCGCCAGCATACAAAGTAGTTTACCTGACTTAAAAAAAAAACTTTGTTATAAATATTTTTTTGGAAAAATCTCCTATTTTCAAATACAGTCAGTAATTCCCGCCAACAGCAGTCCACGGATTTTATTTTGGGAATAGGCACTATAGCCATTGTCGATACAATATTGAATTCACTTATATATTTTGTTGTTTTTGTTGTGTATTTTTCTTTTGAATAATCAATTGAATTATCTGTGTTGTTTCTGGAGCAATGTGTTTCTGATCAATTAAACACATCTGCGCAGTAATCCAATAACTGTGCTATCACTCCATATCGCTGAGAATTGCACCAACTGCTAACAAATATCACATGTTTGCTTGTTTCATATATTATAATGCCGCTATCGCTCAACGGTTTTTGCCAAATACGACATTTCATTCAGAGGAGTCTTGTTTGTGTGTTTTACATCTGTAGTAGTATTATACATCTGTCACTGTAACGCCATAAGTTACAGCGTGCCGTAATTCTGCAGTATTTTACGGTGTATTTTCATCCTACCATATGTTACAACTGCATATTAGGAAATGCGAATTCCAAATATGGAATGATTACGCGCGTAAGCGTCCTATAATAAATAAAGACAAACATGGCTGCCATCGGGGTTTGACCGGACTCCACACAAAGAAGTTCGCTGATTCTGTTCTCAACTTTTTAGATTTCGGCATTCTCATGATGTATCCTTCGAAGGCAAAGATGTGTAATAATAAGGGTCTTACGAGGATACTTCAAAGTATGCACTCAGACAATACGCCGTCGCATCGACCTCCGCTGCGCGTCGGTCGATACTTCCGCTGGTATCCTCGTAATAACCTCATAATATATTGCATTTTTAAAAATACAAGTTTCTATCAGTGCGCAGCAATAACAATTTCCGGTTCTGGAATAGTCAAAATGAATCGGGTCATGAAACAAATGTATGTGCATATGTTCGATATGTTCGATATAATCATGCCTGATGTATTGTTGAAATTGCTCGGCCTATGCATGTGTGGGATATGGCTTGATACGGACGCACACACGAAGGTCAATCCATAAGTCTAAGTTTTCGAAGATGATTTCATCTAACGGGGATATTCACCAGGCCAACTTATTAAGTCAATTTGGGAGTGCTGAATCTGAAAGTGAATGTCAAACAAGCGCTCACATAAGGATGTAGGGGAGGAGGGTCCACTAGTGAAGAAAAATTTGCCAAACTAACTTTTTTTGGTCAATTTGGGGTTGCTGATGAAACGCATGTTACAAAGGATTGATTTTTGTTTTAGTACTCATTCAATCATAATCCCCCGTAAGTGGTAAATAATGTTCACAATACAGATAGAATATACTCAATACATACCTACTGACAATAAATATTTTTAGCGGCTTGTCTCAATTATGACAATCGCTGATATAGCTCACCTGTTTAAAATATATTATGTAAAAAAAAACCTTCAAAGCAATCGGGATAGTTGTTTTCAAGAAGTCGAAAAGAGCATTATTTACCAAAAATGCCAACGGTGTTTATTAAATATTATTATTATACTGCATGAAAAAAAGAAGAACAACTTTGAATGTTAAATCCATGTTCTCTCTCTACACACATTTTTTCAGTTATTTAAATTACAGGCAATACCAAGCTACTTGTCCATACTTTACATTAGTTTGTTATATTTCCGAAACAAAATGCATTATGTTAGCCCCCTGCCAAGAACTGGACAATTCAGCGAGTGGCGTTAGTAATGATCATGCGGCAAATAGTAAAATATCTTGTTTTAGTATTGCATACGAGTCTCTCAGTTGCATAATTCTTTATTAAATATCTGATACTCATAATATTGTTATTTTATTTAGAAAATGCGTTGATGTAGAATTCACCGGGAGAATATATGTTCTGGTTTTTAGTTTGTGACCATTTCATTCCTGTATATATTATAATATTGTAGTAAAAGTTTGTTTATTTTTTATTATATTATATTATAATTTTATGTTTTAATGTTTGTATTATCTTCTGTTTAATCTTCGTGTTTAATATAACCATTTTATTTCAGATCAGTTTTAAGTGCTTCAATTAAAAACAGATACCGCTATAGTTTTAGCTAAAAAAAAAAAAACGTTCGTATTTTAAGGATATAAAAATTGACCTGAAAAGTTTGTCTGGAAAATTTCCCTCCCGGATGACTACGCACCCCTGACTGGTTATTTGTTCTGACAAAAAATACCTTACGCGAAACAGATGGTGGGTGTGTGTTGTTATACTTAGTATGTTATTGGATTACGTCAGTAAACCTGTACAAGATTCAGCATAAAGCAAGAGGCTTGGCAAGGTTTTTTTCGTAAACTGTAATAATTTTTTTTTTATTTTCGTAAGAATGTAATTTAAACAAATAAATAAATAAGCCGAAAAATACAGGTGAAAATGTGTGAAATTCGAAAAACAGTGAATGGCCCTAACAAGCCACCGTAACACCGGAACTAATACTAGTATCACGGGGGAAAATCTTTCTCTCGGGTTTCTCCACACTGTCCAGGGGGAATCTCGTCTCGTCTCTCTATCTCGTCCCCTTGAGGTACGGGATCGGGAAAGTCACTTTAACCTTACAGTCAAATAAGACACACACAACAAAATACGTTTCAGCTCTCGTCTTAGTCGATCTTTTGGAGCACTCTATAAGACACAGCGCCCTGGGGAAAAGTCCCCAAGACTCTCACAAGGCTGAACCAAGACTCGCCCAAGACTGGACTGCGTCAAGGCTCGCCCCAAGACTCTCTTAGACTGGACTCGACTCTCCAGGACTGCTCTCTCTCAAGTGCGTCTATCGTGCTGTGTTCCCCAAGACCAACTCAAACTCTCTTTATTCATTTTCAAAACTCTAACCAATTACAAAACAGTAAAAAGACTCTAGGGCGTAACCTTCAATCATAAAGCCAATCACACTAAGTACTGAATACGTCATATCTTTTGATTAATCGTTCACTACATTAATAACTATGAATATAAACTGTCAGAATCGCGACGGTTATCTGGTAATTAGTTCCAAATCACTGAGCCAAGTTCCGTCCAAAACTTCAAATAGACCTAAACGATGACAGACATAACACAGCAATTCGCTAATAATCAACTAATTAAGTCGGTCAACAGATACGCGAAAACAAATTCATGACACTAGTATCACATTAATTCCTAGCTTCATTCGTGCCTGTGCGTCACACATACCCAGATGATTTGTGATTTGTGGCAGCGGAATATTTGTCGCACTGAAAAACATGCAAGAAAACTGAAATGTGTGTAGGTGCAATGTATTTCCATTGCATGTGCTGAGAATAGTCATGGCGGACACCAGTAATTCAACTGGAGTAGTTAAACGGGTTGATCATAGGATTATTCAATGTGCGATATTGTTTGATTATTGATTCTAAAACACAAATTATCAATTTGAAATATATTACAAAACTGTTAAATGTAATCTGGAATTTGTTTTATCTGTAAAGTGTAAATGGAACTTTCAGTTTTTTTCCTGTAAAAACGTAAAATTTAATTTGTATTTTCTGTAACCTGTACAAGCGACCCCCCCCCTCTGTCCACCCTCATCATAGTGGGCGGAACAAGAAAGGGGGTAGAGCTGGATACTTTGTTACAGTGGGTGCAGACTGTAAAATGTTTTTTGTGTCGTTGAATTCACAGATATCCAAAATGTGCATTTAAAAATTCTGATGCACTCAATTATCTGTCAAATCTTCATGATAGATACGTGTTTCTTCTGCAGAGAAAGCTTTCAACAATATCTGTGATTCCAGAAAATTATCCTAATTGATAAAGCATTGATTCATGCAGTTCGAGAAACTGTCAGGTCAATATTGCGCGTCGCCAATGTGAAATCGCGCCTTCTATCGGTGAATGTCGCGTAGCAGCCCACCAGAAACATGAGTTATTCGGTCTTGTTGGGAGTTATTTCACGCTGTTATCATAGTTTACTTCAATGTTTCGCATTTACACAAATTTTGGGCCTAACACAAACTGTTCCTAACAAAGTTCCTGAACACAAAACAAGCAGCGTTAGAATGATGTCAGCAATTAAGATATTGATCTTTATTAGGGACGACGTCAAAAGATCGATGTCGGATAATAAACCTTTTTCCTTTAGTTTGGGAGTGGGGGTTTTGACTTCAAAAAGTTTCCATCCTACAAAAACGATTTTATTTTTAATGAAGTAAAACAAATCTTGGAATATTTGTAGTTCTATCCAATCATGGACAGAAATAACCGAAAAGCTGAGGGAAAAAAAACGCGGAAAAATGGTTTGGTTCGAGTGTAAATCTGTGCGTCAAATGAGGTGCATTTGTAAACTCTTTTTACACCCACCCGACAACCAACTGCTATGCAATACTACTGTTCGATTATCAATTTGTATTTAATGGTGAATGTAGTCTGACGCCATGACCAATATTTATCAATTAAGTTTCAATATTTATCAATTAAGTAGGGGGGTTTGGAAAAAAACTAAAGGAATTAAGTTTTTTATCCGACATCGATCTTTTGACGTCGTCCCTTAATTGATGTAACATAACTTAAAATCGATGATGTACATGCAGTGTGTGCTTTGTGAAGATTTTTTTAATTAAAGGGTGGTGGTCGTTGCTAGGCTATGCTACGTTGCTATGAAATTTCATATAACATGTATAAATTTAGAACAACAAAAACAAAACAAAAACAGGACAGCTTGAGAAGTTAATCTGACATTCAGGTGTGAGTGGCGCCCTCACCGCGCCGTCCGAACGGCACCAGACCCACTGTTCGGTTTGGAGCACCGCGGAGGGTGCAACTCAGGCGACTTTGTCAGGCTACCTGAGAAGTGTGATGAGAATTCAATCGCAGCCGAATCTACATATCTGCTCGCCAATGTTCGACGCATTGTTTGCTACTAATTTATGATATGATATGATATGATTGAATTTTATTTGGACCGTATAAAAACCTTGAGTTATGTTCTTATGACCCATATATCTTATGAATACTCCAATTGCTGCATTTGGTATACAAACAAAATGTACTACTTTTTCACACGCCTAAGGCTACCTACACAATATATCCGATATTCAGCTTTAAGGGTTGACGAGGTTGGTAATAATTATGTGGTTATTAAAGGTACATTCCTTCTATCGCTGGGCTGGGATAATTGTAGACTGTTGACACTCCTCGGGCCTAATGTAATTGTCCGAGTATCAGAGGGACTGTGCACTAGTGAAGTAACAGACAAGATTTAAATTCCTTGTATTCGATCTCGCATAATTTACCCTTTTGCCAATGTAAATATTTTTTTCATGGTTTATTTTCGGATTATGAATAACAATTTCCATTTATCCAGCGTCAATTAGCAATATGTATATATTATAATTTGTAATATATACGAAGTATAATATCACCGATTTTAAATACAATGTAGTTCAACATTTTGGCTCTCAGTCGTATTTGTTTTAATATTGTGTATGGGAATAAACTTCCATATCTATCTACTTTGCCTTAGATTGGGCATACACCCCGTCATATAAGTGTTATTATAGGATAGGATAGGGTAATTCTGTGCTCCAGCTACCGTCGTGACGTGATGATAGTTAGGGTTCGGACAGTTACTTCGGCCAGGAGGGGGGGGGATGGTTACCCTGTTTTTGATATCACGAATAGGTGATTAGGGAGGGTCACCATGTTTTCCAGAATTCACACACGCGCTTTTTCATACATTTTTACAAAATTATTTCGGAACAAAGGATAAAAAAGTTAATCGTACAAATGTGTTCTCAATACTAACTATTACCTAAATTGCCTATAATTTTGTTGATGAAAAAAAAGTTATAGGCTAAATATTTTGGGGTTGAAGTTGCCAAATAATTAACAGATTATGCAATGCGGCTTGAACCCCAATTATACAGTTAAGTTTTAAACACATCCCAAGTCCATGTGCAGCTGATATCAGATTATGTTATTTAAAGTCTGAAGTCACCATTGTATAAGATATTTTTAATTACTGGATTTATCCAATTATAACAGGAGACCGAAGGACAACACAACAATTAGTACAAAGAGCTGTGACAATTTTTGTTCAGCAAATCAAAAAAGTTAAATTTGTGAAAATGCTGATATATGAATTAAAATAAATGATGAAAAAACTTTTAAATATGAATATTATGCTCTGTAAAATGCCAAAATCCAACACAAATTTAAGCAAAAATCAAAGTTTCCTTTGTTTTCATAAGCACAGACTGTGCTTCGTGTGTAAAGCATTCCTGGTCTATAAGATTTACATTTTGTAATCATTTTTTAGGGAGGGGTCAGCATGTTTTAAAATATAATGATGGGGTGCGTCACCCACTTTTTTTATTTAATAGGGGGTGGGTCAACTGAAATATACAGCTGGCATAATGAAATATGTCGACCCCCCCCCCCCGCCGAAGTAACTAACCAATCCCTTAGTCATATGCAATTCAAGTAAGTAATACCGTGAAGGGTTTTACCACGTCACAAATAATCTCCGTTTTTCGTGGTAAATTGTCTACTACTCTCCAACGGGAAACTGTGGGGGCTACTGACTTAGGAAAAGGGTACTAGTATATTGCTTAGAATATGAATGAATAAATATGTCAAAAAGGCACGAGTCGCAATAACACCCAATTGTCGTTAATTGAGTTCTTACCCGTTTGCGGCATTACGGAGACTGCGCAGTAAGGGCATAAACAGAGTTGCCTTGGAGACTCTTGCTGAGCTCGAGCTTGATTTAGGTTTGCATATCTGTTTTCTTCTGAATAGTTTTTGTTGTTTTCATTTATCCATGCGTTAACGTACTCCCAGAAAGTGTGTGATAACGTACACTACGTGATCATTTTTATCGACACAGTAGGTTAAACACCGACGACGTTTTCCCCGCTCATTCAATTTACAGTGCAGTCACTACAACATGGCTGACAACGACAACGAACCAACTACCGCCGCTGATCAAGCCGTTGAAGAAATCAGTGGGGAAGCACAGACACATACAGACCCTGAACAGGCTGAGGAGGGAATAGCTAAAGTGTCTGTTGACGAAGGCGATCGTGAATCAACCAAACAAGATGAAGCGGAACCTGAGACAACTGGCGAAGAAGCGGGTACGGGTGGTGTTGGCGAGTCTGATGCTGCCGAACCGGTGGTTGAAGGAAATGTTGTTGAAGGCGAGGACACTAATCAGAGTACTGGTGACGGTGAACAACAACAAGTAGATCAAACTCAGGAAAATACAAATATAAACCAAGCTGGGGATGATGGTAATGCAGATACGACACAAAAGGAAGATCCCGCCGAAGAACAACAAGCGCCTGCAGAATGTTTGCCACAAGAGGGGACAGAGGTCGGTGAAACGGTACCCACTGACGGTGAACTCCATACTGAGGATGCTGATGAGGTAGTAGCATCCGTTGTTGATGGAAATGACGACACCGTCGAGCAACAAATGGAAGCCGACGTGACTGCTAATGAAGGTGAGCAAGATGGGGATGTGGCTGGAGATGGTGATCAGAATGGCCAAGAAACACAAGTCGAGGAGGGTGGAGTAGACGGAGAGGGGGAGCAGCCACCAACTGAACAGGATATGGAAGATCAACAAATGCCAGCCCAAGTGACAACACCAGCACCAGTGGATACTGGACGACATGTTGTTACACCGACTGATGGGGAACAACTTGATGCAGTTGATGAACACACTATTGAATCTGAATCAGTAAAGCCTGAGGAGCCTGGGCCCAATGCACTAGTAAGTATGTTTGTTTACTTGCCTCTTCAATTACCGTACTTGTAATTTGTTTTGCTGCAATTTATGGGAAATTAATTGCAAATTATCATAGCTTAACTTAATATTAATTTCAGTAGAGGGCACCTAGTTTCAAATAAACGTACCATAGATGTGTGTAATCATTAGTACATGTACTCCACTTTGTGACATCTACATGTTAGAGGTATGGGGAACTGTTGCAGTGTTCTCCCTTAACAAGGGTAACAGGGAAAATTGTCTTCTCGCAATAGACTGCTATTTCCCGCCTTATGCTTATATTTGAACCTACAAACAGGAAAAGCGAAGATCATAGCATTGTAGTGGCTTCAAAACATCATGTGGGATTCAACTAATGCAAAAGTAATT